AACTCATGACTCCAAGATTGACTGTAAGATCTATAAAATCTTATATTCTTGATCTGTCATGGTCCAATAGACATTTAATCACTGCCCCCACCAAAGTCCTTGCCATTTTTGGGCTTATCTTGTGTGTACACATTTTTAACTTTGAGAAAATTGTTGATAAGTAAAGAAGATACCCAGGACCCAATGCATCACTGTATTGACAGGCAAGTCAGATTCATATATGACTTTTCTCTCTTACGAATCATTATTACATTTGCCTCAACTTCCAAGGTCGATGTCGTGCAAGAAAGGAAAAGCCCTCCTCATTGTTCTGTTTTCTCCTGTTCCTTTCACTCTCTCTCTCTCTGCTGCAATATTATTCAAATTCAAAAGAAGAAAAAGCCTCTTGTTGTTTTGTTCTTTTAATACCAAAAACAATTTCAAATTCCTTGATAACATATTTAGCAACTGTTTTTTTTTTCCCTGTGCATATCTTACCCACTATACAAACTAAAAAGGGTAAAAAAGAAAGCTTTCTTACAGCTTTGGACCACATTACTCAAAAACAAGGGACTTTAACTTAACTATAACTAAATACCCTATCAACTAAACTTACTTTTTCATAAGACATAGTTATGTGATTTTTACCCAGCTCCTTCAATCTTAGTATTGCTTGTTGTGGTTTAGTTCCAATCTCTGACCTCTTTCCCTCTCCCGTAAAGCTAGTCTTGGCGTATCGATAGACAGTCTTTCACTGAACCTATCCGACCCATCATTCGTTAGCTGGCCGCTGTAATGATCTGCCCAGAATCGTCCGCTTCTGTTCCCTGCCTCTGAACTTGGAGTTGATGCGTAGTTCCCATCCATTATCATATCTCCTTCCAGTATACGCAACACCTTCATAATTGACCAGACATCTTTTAGTATATTATCAAAAAGTTTGAATGATTTTGAGACTGAAGAAGTGATTTCAAGGATTTCTTATGATTACCTGAGACATGCGTGGCCTCAAATGTGGGTCTCTACGTATGCACAACGAAGCTGCATGAACCATACAAATGACCTCACTTTCTACAAAACAGCTCCCAAGCCTCGGATCGATAAGTTCTTCCACCGCATATTCTTCCAGTAGTGGACGTGCCTGAGATCACAAAGAGCATCAGTTCTATTACTTTGCCGAAAATTTAAAGTATTGAATTCATTACCCATTCAGTGAGGCATTGCTGGCCTTTTGGCCTGGAGATATCAATGGCTTTGCGGCCAGTGACTAGCTCAACTAGAACAACCCCAAACGAGTAGACATCCGCTTTTTCTGTGATTTGCCCGCTTTGTGCATATTCTGGAGCTAAATAGCTGCACACCAACAAAATACTTTCCTTTAACAACAGGAAAAATTTCAACGTTCCAGGAAGAAAATGATAGCTTTAGTTGATGTCTCACCCAAACGTTCCTATAACTCGAGTATCTACACCCAATTCCCCATCAGGCTGCCATCTTGCTAGACCAAAATCTCCAACCTGATAGAATTAAAAAAAAACCTTGACTTAGGACCAAAAAGCTTATGAAACAACGTGTTGTTACAATGAACGAGCAAAGGCCATTTTGATATATACCAGTGGCTCATTATCATGAGTGATGAGGATGTTGTTAGGACGCATGTCTCGATGGACAATACACCCAACTCTACACTCTTCGTGTAGATACCGAAGACCTCTTGCTGCTCCAACAGCAATCTTTTGTCGTGCTGACCATTCCAGAGTTTCTTTTTGACGACCTATATACGAGACGCTTGATACTGAGCAAACATTTCTACCATAGAGCTCAAATGGAAAATTTATGCAGCATTCAAGATAAATTACCGTATAGATGGGAGTCAAGTGAACCATTGCATATGTATTCATAGACCAAGAGCCGTCTGCTGTCTTCAATGCAGAAACCAATTAGCATAACAACGTTTCTGTGCTGGGCACAGCTGAGAACTTCCACTTCGGAGCAAAACTCTACATCTCCTTGAGAACTGGCCAGTTTGTGTTGCTTTACTGCAACTACCTGGCCTTCCGGTAGTACACCCCGATGAACAGATCCATATCCGCCTTCAGCCAAGAAGTTTGCCTGTGAAAACCCACCAGTAGCAAGCTCTAACTCGGCGTATGAAAACAGCCTTGGGGGTTTCCCAAATACTGGTGCCTTGTGCTGGCAGATAGAACAGAGAGGAGGTGGACCAGGAGGAGCATTTCGAGAGAGTGATATTGCATCTCTCAGGTTTCCACTAAACTCCACATCAATCCTTCGACTAGAAGACAACCCAGCCTCTACATCAAGTTTAGAGAACTTGTCAAGCAAAGCCTTTGTAGTGGCTATTTGAGCCCTATCATCATTTTTCCATAGGCTTTCATCGGCCTCTTGGGATGACTGGCGATGATTGGTAATATACTCTGATATCCATGGCTGGAATCTCATACTCGTCGACGCTAGTGATTGATTCTCGCTCTCTGTTTCAGAACCGGAATCATCAAGACCATCATTCTCCTTGATGACCAGTGCTCCATCCTTCTTCATGTATCCACTCATTCCCAATGTGAAAAAAGGTGAAGTTCCAGGGTCAGAGCTCGACACTGATGAAGTACCGGCTTCTGTACTTGTAAATGGTGTCCCCAGCTCAGGACTGCTAGTAGGAGTAACAGGTAGTCCTCTATCAGAATCTAACGACCCTTTTGTGTTCTTCGGGTGTTTTTCAGATGCTGCTTCTGCTCCAGTTGGTGAAGGAGCCTCTTTTTCAGCATCCTTCCTAGGCGATCCAACTAAATTTAAGCGTAGAACTTTTGCCTGAGAACGCTTCATCACCACAATGTTACACTGCAATTCATCCATACACCGTTTCTCTTCTTGTTTGAGGTGTCTGAAATACAAACCATACAGCACCATGGTGTAAGTTAGTGAAAGTAAATGTAATTGTGAGACTTTACCCAGTTTGACAGTGTATATATGATGAAAGTAGACTCTTACTTGTCTAACACAACCCAGTTTGCTTGTGCTTTCTTCGACTCAGCAGCAACTGCTCCGCAGGGTGATCCAGATACAATCTTAATCTTGACATTTATCTTCAAAGCAATCACAAACAACAACAAAAATAGCATGAGAAACATGTGATTCTTTCACAGGATCATGATAGATAAATATGTCTGCAAGAGAGCCAACCTTATTGGGATCATAGACATCATGAAGCTGGAGAATCATTTGGGAACAAGTATCAGTGAGATCACTTTTTATCTCCGGTAGTGCTTCAGAATGTGATTTCCGATTACCACTTGCACAATCCCCAGCAAACATAGGGAAACTCTTAGTGAAACCCCAAAGTTTTCGTCCTACACATTCATCAGAAAGCAAATAAGACAAGGATAGACAGAGAAAACTAAAGATGAAAAGAGAGACTGCACGACCAATCAAAACATACAGAAGACCAACACAACTTTCGATATAAAAAGAAGCATAAGTCAACAAAACCGCGGCAAGAAAAGTACCAGAGTTGTGAGAAGGGACAACGACAATGAGGGTAATGCAATCCCCAGGCTGAACAACATGAGTCAAAGCCCAAATCAAGGCTGTCTTTGGAATCTCCCTAGACGCTTTAACAGCCACAATAACCTTCTCAGCCCCATCAGATACTACTACAGGCTTCTCCTGCTTCCCTCGCTTCAGTAGTCGACTCATTTGTATAATTCCAATACCAAGAAAGAAAGAAGTTTTCTTGATCCTCTTTTAGTTTCTCTTTAGAACACGATCCTCAGAGAAAATGTACTTTGTTGGAGAGATATAACAAGCTGCCACAATTGCTGCTTTTGCATTATTTTTAAGCTGCCTGCCCCCACCAAGTTGGAATCAAGACAAGAACCAAAGACTCTCTCCTTGATTAGTCACTCCAGTAAGGACTTTGCATATGAATACAAAACTCACAGACTTGACAAGACCTTTCTCTCCTGTGATTTTCTCCTTCTCCAAACGAATCACAAGAAACCTAACACACCAACAAGATTCCCAAACGGATTGAAAATCCTCAAAATCTCCCAAGAAAAACAAAAAGATGCCTCTGAGAATAGCAAAAGCGAACAAATAGATACCTATCCACTCAAAATCCAATCACTCCCAAAGACCTTTTTGAATCTTCTTTCTTCTTTTTGTCAAATCACTTGAGTCAAAGCTTTTACAGCCTCTTGATTTTTGGATCTGACGCCAACCAAACAAACAAACAAAAATCCTCTCGGCAAGATACGGAGAGATCGCTCAATGTCTGTCTGAAACTTCAAAATTCGACCTGCAATATACAAAAAGAGTAAACGAAATTGAAGATTTGAAGAATCAATGGATAGAGAAAACGCAATGGAAGAGGAATAAAACCTCAAAATTCCTTAATAGAATAGAAGGAAGAAGAAAAAAAAACGTTTGACTACACATTTTTATAAACCAATTTCATGAGAATAAAAAGGAATTTTCTCAAATCGATTCAACAATAAACCAATAAGAATTGTTAGATAKATATTTTATTAATTATCACAAACCGCC